ATCATCATCGTCGTCATCAGCATCAGCATCAGCATCATCATCAGCTTCAGCGTTATCAGCATAATCAGCAGCGGTATCAGCATCATCAGCATCACTATCAGCATCATCAACACCATCACGGGCATCACCATCATCATTACCATCAGCACCCGCATAATCATCATCATCATCATCAGCCTCATCATCGTCGTCGTCATCGCCATCGTCATCATCAGCAGCATCAACATCATCGTCAACATCAGCAGCAGCATCGTCATCATCAGCATCACCATCACCATCATCAGCAGCAGCATCGGCATCAGCATCAGCATCATCATCATCCCCATCCTCATCATCAACATCATCATCGTCAGAATCAGCATCGTCGTCGTTATCGTCACCATCATCATTACCATCACCATCATCAGAATCAGCATCAGCATCATCAGCATCAGCATCATCATCAGCAGCCGCATCATCATCCGCATCGTCCTCATCATCACCATCATCATCGTCATCGTCATGATCGGCATCATCACCATCACCATCATCATCCGCATTATCATCAGCATAATCATCAGCCTCATCATCGTCGTCGCCACCGTCATCATCAGCATCATCAACATCATCGTCAACATCCGCATCAGCATCGTCAGCATAATCATAATCACCATCATCAGCATCATCGTCGGCATCGTCATCGTAATCGTCAGCATCGTCATCGCCATCGTCACCAGCATCAGCAATAGCAGCATCAACATCATCAGCAGCAGCGGTAGCAGCATCAGCAGCATCAGCATCAGCATCATCAGCATCAGCACCAGCATCAGCTATTTGCCTGTCATACCACAACAAGTGCAACAGCACGTGAACTCTGAATGGAAGGATTCTCAACGCAACGACATGTCAAACACAAGTGAAATATAATCGGCCAAGGCCACGGCCACGGCCACGGCCACGGCTACGGCCACGGCCTCGGCCACAGCCACGGCCACGGCCACGGCCACGGCCACAGCCACGGCCACGGCCACGACCACGGCCACGGCCACGGCATTATCTTGGTCTTGGGATGCTCCTTTGGTCGCAAGTGAACGGAATATGGAGAATGTGACAGCGAATACAACTTGTCGAAACACGGTAACAAGGGCACAAGCATCTTTGAATGATGTGCCCACCCCCACGGGCCGAGTGCACCCATTATGGTGGGGTGTCTCTTGCCCGGGGACGCGCCTGCCTTAAGGGCTGCAGGCACCCGTGGTCCGTTCCGTCTCCAGCGTGACGCGGGGCAGGCCGACGTTGACACGAACGACACCTTTGTTTCCGACGTGGGAAAACACCACGTGTAAAGCGCTCTGTGAGCTTCCTCTTGACACTGTGTCTGGCTTCAAGCACGGCCGCTGTATTTGCCAGAAGATGTCGAGCCAGGCTACTAAACCCTGACTATCTGGCCTTGACAGAAGGGAGGAAACGACTGCCCCCTCTTTCGTGACATCGTCGGCACCTGGCGGCTTGGCCGCAAGGGCCCCCTTTTTCCTTGAATGTCCGACCCCCCGCCCCCGTGACCAGAGCACTGACTGGAGCACAGGACGGCGGAGCCGACTTCGTATCCCGGTTCTCGGGCACCACAATCAGAGCGCACGTGCGAAGCCCCCTCTTTGGTAAAGCGACCACTGCTACTACTCTGGCTGACGGGAAAAATGCTGCACCGCCGAAGACGAGCTCTTGAAGAGACTTTCGGCTGATAACCAATTACTTGCCTGTCATATCACAACAAGTGCAACAGCACGTCAACTCTGAATGGAAGGATTCTTAAAGCAAAGACATGTCAAACACAAGTGAAATATAACCGGCCACGGCCACGGCCACGGCCACGGCCACGGCCACGGCCACAGCCACGGCCACGGCCACGGCCACGGCCACGGCCACGACCACGGCCACGGCCACGGCATTATCTTGGTCTTGGGATGCTCCTTTGGTCGCAAGTGAACGGAATATGGAGAATGTGACAGCGAATACAACTTGTCGAAACACGGTAACAAGGGCACAAGCATCTTTGAATGATGTGCCCACCCCCACGGGCCGAGTGCACCCATTATGGTGGGGTGTCTCTTGCCCGGGGACGCGCCTGCCTTAAGGCTGCAGGCGCCCGTTGTCCGTTCCGTCTCCAGCGTGACGCGGGGCAGGCCGACGTTGACACGAACGACACCTTTGTTTCCGACGTAGGGAAAACACCACGTGTAAAGCGCTCTGTGAGCTTCCTCTTGACACTGTGTCTGGCTTCAAGCACGGTCGCTGTATTTGCCAGAAGATGTCGAGCCAGGCTACTAAACCCTGACTATCTGGCCTTCACAGAAGGGAGGAAACGACTACATCATCAGCATCACCATCATCATCATCATCATCATCATCATCATCATCATCATCATCATCATCATCATCATCATCATCAGCATCAGCATCAGCATCAGCATCAGCAGCATCATCATCAGCAGCATCCACAGCACCAACATCAGCATCAGCA